TGTGAGGAGTGTTATAGGAACAGTCACACACTGTCTGGGCTCACTGAGAAGCTGGCTCCAGGAGTGGGACCGTCCTTTACCTCCACTTTAGACCCACAGATGTTTGTGATGTGTCCTCTGAGAACTCTCGTCTGAGCATGGCCAGTCCCCCAACTCTGTGACAGGAGAGAAAGCAGCCCGAGAATAAAAACGCTGTGTCCTGTGACCACCACTTCTAACAGCTGCCGTTAGTGAGGTCCCGGACAGCCAGGACTGCTCAGTGAAATCTTGTCTCAACAAAACCAAACCAAACCAACCAAACCCAGCCTGGTCTACAGAGTGAGATCCAGGACAGGCTCCAAAGCTACAGAGAAACGCTGTCTTGAACTCCCGCCCCCACACACACAAAAAAAAGCTACCCAAAGCCTGTGGCCACAAAGGCACCTGCTGACCTCAGGTGAGGCAGGAGCCCAGCACCCACACTGTCTTAACGGGAGATCTGGATCTGGTACAGCCAGTCTGTGAGCAGACCCCCTGTGGGTGCTCACTCTACACATGACCTTCTTGGTTTTAGTTTCTAGCCATGTGAAACAGAATCTTAGTATGTAGCCCAGGCTGGCCTCCAACTGACAATCCTCCTGTTGCAGACCGCTGAGTGCGGTGCTGACAGGACGTCCTCCACACCCAGTCCTTCCTCTCCCATCTCAGAACCTCGTGCGTAAGAGGCTCTGACAGCCGTGTCCTACCGAGGACGGCCCAGCGGTGCCTGAGCCCAAACCCCTGGGCCCTCAATCTACTGTGAGGAGGTCTCTTTTAATTTTGTTTTGTTTGTTTTCCAAGACAGGTTTCTGTGTGCAGTCCTGGCTGTCCTGGCACTCACTTTGTAGACCACACTAGCCTCAAACTCAGAGATCCACCTGCCGCTACTTTCTGAGTGCTAGAATTAAAGGCGTGCGCCACCACCGCCCAGCTCTGCCTCTTTAATTTCAAGTAAGGCACGTCACCCCAGCACCTGGACGCCGAGGAACAAGGATTGCCAGGGTTGGAAAAGCTCCCACGTGAGCTAGGTGAAGCATCACCCTGCAGACCCCCAGCAGGCAGCAGAGGGCAGTGGGTCTGGAGAGCGTGTTGTGGAACCCACGGCTGATTCAGTCTCATGAGCAGCTGTGACTGGTTCTCACTTGTCTGGGTACAGGAGTGACGGTGTGGGATGACCTAGGCAGTCCTGGCACGCCCCACCCACCTTGTCCAGGGCCTCCTGCAGCACGCCCTCCGCGGTCTCCCAGCGGCCCTGGGCCGAGTGGCAGGCTGCCTGGCCATTGAGCAGCAGCAGCGTGGGCGAGCACTTGTCGGCCAGCTCCTGGAAGATGTAGTAAGCTTCCTGCAGCTTCTCTCCACCCTGTGGGGACAACGGTGTCACTGCTGGTCATCTGCATGCTCCCTCCCTGTATAGAGGGGAGTGCACACGCTTACACACTGCCCAGCTCCAACCACTGCTGGAGGCTGTGCCAAGGGTTTCCAGGGGTGTGGTGTACGTGCTGGGACCACAGGGACACAAGACCTGTGACAATCAGGCCAGAGCTGTCCCTGCTCATCACAGTCTAACACTAGGGGAGGGGGATGTGAAACTGGAACTCAGCCGGGTGTGCAGACAGATCCTCAGGAAGCTGAAGTGAGGGTTCAAGGGTGACCTAGGATGCAGGGACACGGGCCTGTCACTCCAGCTCCCGAGGCCAGTCGTAGGCCAGACTTCCAGCCCGGGGCTGGTGAGACGGTTCAGCAGGTGAAGGTGCTGCTGCCACACCTAAAGACCAGGATTTCATCTCCCTGTGCACATGCGCCACCACAAACACACGTAAGTGAACACAGCCCAAGCCCTGCCTGCCTACAGGGTAAACTCAGGGCCATCATGAGCAACCCACCCTTATGAAGCCCTGTCTCAAAGCAAAAGTGCAAATTTTTGTTCTTTTTTCAAGACAGTGTTTCTCTCTGTGGTTCTGGCTGTCCTGAACTCACTCTGTAGACCAGGCTGGCCTCAAACTCACAGGGATCCACCTGCCTCTGCCTCTGCTGAGATTAAAGGCGTGTGCCACCACCGCCTAGCGCTTGCTACTCTTTAAAAGGACCCAACCCAGCACCCACTGGGTGCCTTACTACTACTACCTGTACTACTATCCCTCTTAACTGTGAGGGATCTGACACCCTCATGTGGCCTCTTCGGGCACTGCAAATGTATGCACACACATGGACATAGCTAAGAACAAATCTACTTTTTAAAAGGGACAGGGAGGCTGCAGAGATGGCTCAGAGGTTAAAAGTACTGGCTGCTCTTCCAGAGGTCCTGAGTTCAATTCCCAGCAACCACATGGTGCCCTCTTCTGGCCTGCAAGCATACATGCAGACAGAACATTGTATACAAATAAATAAATTTTTGGCCAGGTGCACACCTTTAATCCCAGCCACTCGGGATCTCTGTGAGTTTGAGGCCAGCCTAATCTAGAGAACAAGTTCCAGGATAGGCTCTAAAGCTACACAACAAAACCCTGCCTTGAAAAACCTAAACAAACAAACAAACAAACAAACAAACAAATGAGATGGATCAGGCATGGGAAGTGTGCCTGTATCTCAGTTCAAAACCATCCCCAACTACAAAGCCAATTTGATGCTAGCCTGGGCTGGGCTATGTGAAACTTGTGTTTAAAACACAGCAAAAACACAAAATCCCTCAAAGCTAAATTTAATTAAAAATAAATACAATACAGCTGGGGTGGAGCACAGTGGCAGAGTACTCGCCAAGCCCGAGTAAGGCCCCGGGTTTCATGCCAGGTCCAGAAAAAAAGAAAAAGACAAACAAACAAACCAACAAAACAAAACCTCCAAACTGAAAATAAATAAGCCAACTTCCAGAAAGCTAGACTGGGGTCTTCTCCACCCAGGAGGAGGGCTGTGTGGGGCCCGAGGCCTGGGTCCCCTTGTAAAGGCTTATGGACAAAAGAGCTCAGGAAAGGAGGTCAAAGCCAGGAACCGGAACAGGGCAGCTGCCAGGAGGCGGGCAGTGTGGGCTGAGGATGCCCAGCCTGTCACCGTTCAGTTCAAGGAGCCCCGAGAGCAGAGCAAAGCTGCCCCAAACTCAGGACCTGGAGGGCAGGCCAGCTGCCCAGCCTGGACCACTTCCTCCAGTGTCCACAGGCTCGGCCACCAGGCTGCGGGTGGGGCAGGGCGAACGGAGACGTAGCCCCACGAGTGACGCTTCAGTCCCCAGCCCCCAACGCCTGTGGAGCTTACCAGAGCCAGGTTGACCCAGGCCGTGGCTAGCTGGGTGAGGGTGGCATCCTCATCTTGGTCCTGCATTCTCTTCAGCTCCTTCCTAGGGCACAGGAGACAAGGGGCTGAGTGGCCTGGGGACAGACCCTCCACACTCCTCCTCTGTATCTGGCTGACATGAGTAGACATGGCTGGCCCACCTGCTGCCCACATGGTGAGGAATCTAGAGAGATGCTCAGCTGTGCAGCGCCAGGGTAAGCTCCACATTTCCTGCATGCTCGAGAGCTGATACTCCACCCCCAGACACCATCAAGAGCTGTGACAGGGCAGCCTCCACCCACAGCTCAGCTTTACAGAGGAAACAGGCAGAGCTACCCATTCCCTCGTCCCCAGCACAGGACTCGGGAGAGGCTAGGTAAAGGGCAGTGTGTCACTTGTGTGGAACAGAAATAAGGAGCCGCCTCAGGGAAGCTGAGGCTGAGGTCCGGGCACTGTGGTCCCAGCTGTGACTCACCGGGCTAGGTCCAGCCTGTCCAGCTTGAGGAGGATCTGAATTGTCATGGCCGTGCTGCGGACAGGGCAGAGACAGAGTGGTCAGCTGGCGTCTGGGCTTGCCAAGAGGAACACCCCCACTTTGCCAGGGAGCTCACAGGGACCTGGGGTCTCCCTGGGGCTCTGTAGGGGCCAGACTTGTGGGTAGAAAACCTGCTAGCTGCACTTCCAGGGTGAGCAGAGGGTCCGGACCTGCCCCTGTGTCTGTGTGGGGTGACTGCATGAGGCACCGCCGACGCCAGCCCTAGGACACCTTCCCCAGCCCCTCATCAGCCTCCCTCCCAGTGACCCGTGGCCACTTGCCCCTTGTTTTCCCTCTAGCCAGGAGTCAGCTCCAGGCCCAGCAGTTGCCAGCTCCGTCCTTTTCTCCTATTTCCTTTTTCTCCATTTCCAGGATGGACCCTTTGGTCATTTGCCCTTGTCTTTCCGACAGGACTCCATGGAGCCTAAGCTAGACTCGAATTTGAGAAGAGCTGGGGATGCCCTTGAACTTCAGATCCTCCTCCTTCTACCTCCCAGGGCGGGGAGGACAGGCAAATGCCCTCGCCTCCTCACCCAGCTAGGGACAAGCTCTCTCACTGTTGCCCAGGCTAGCCTCAAACCCTTGATGCATCCGAGAGATGGTTCAGAGGGTGAGCACTTGTTACTGAGCCCAGTGACCTGAGTTTGGTCCCCAGGACCCATACGGTGAAAAAAACCAACTCCCACAAGTTGTCCACTGGTCTACAACACACACATGCACTGTGGTACATGTAACTTGTCCCCAAATAAATATATGTAGAGACAAAAAGCCTTGATCCAGCTCCCTCAGCTTTCTAGGAGCTGGGATTTTAGGTCTATACCTGGCCTGCTTGTCTTTATTTCTTGTTTTTGTTTTCACAATCATACCTGTATATAACATGTTTTGACTGTTCCCCCTACCCTCCCTGTGGGCTCCTTCAGCTCAGCCCCGCCTCGCTCTTTTCTCTGTATTTTATCTGTGTGTGTGTGTGTGTGTGTGTGTGTGTGTGTGTGTGTGTGT